TAGCCACAAAGAAGACTTAATCCCTTACGTTTTGATGTAGTTAAAAAGGAAGTGACAAAGCTATTGAGTGCTGATATTATTTTTCGAATTAGTGATAGTGAACGGGTCTCTCCAATCTAAGTTGTTCCTAAAAAGAGTAGAATTGCAGTTGTGAAAAATGAAAAGAATGAGCTAATACTGACTAGGTACAAATTGCTTGGAGGGTATGTATTAATTACAGAAGGTTAAATGATGCAACAAGAGAAGATCACTTTTGTTTATATAATGCACCCGGCACTTTTCAAAGATGCATGATAAGCATTTTTAGGGATCTTTTGGAGCAAGGTATCAAAGTATTTATAAAGGATTTTACAATTTATAGGGACTATTTTGATGAATGTTTAGCTACTTTAGAAACAGCTTTAGGCAAATGTATTGAAAAGAATCTTATTCTCAAAATTGAAAAGTGTCATTTCATGGTGGACAAGAGGATAGTGTTAGGTCATTTAATTTCTAAACACGGAATCAAAGTTGATAAGGCCAAAATAGAGGTCATTTCATCCCTTCCTTATCCAACTAGCATAAAGGAGTTGAGATCATTTTTAGGCCATGCTGGATTTTATAAGAGATTCATTAAAAATTTCAGTCAAATAGCATCTCCTTTATCACATTATTTTATAAAAGGATACTGAATTTGTGTTTAATGAATTGTGCAGGGGTACTTTTGATGAGTTAAAGGCTAAGTTGATCTCTCCCCCTATTCTCACATCACCTAACTGGAATCTAGATTTTGAATTGTCATGTGATGCTTCAAATTTTACAATAAGGGTAATATTGGGGCAAAGGGTAGAGAAACAATCTAAAGTAATTGCTTATGCATCCAAAACTTTAGATATGACTCAAGTTAACTATACCACTACAGAAAAGGAATTATATGCGATAGTATTTGGTTTGGACAAATTTAGACAATACTTATTGCATTCTAAGGTCATTATATTCACTAATCATACAGCTGTAAGATTTTTGTTTAAAAAGCCACAAAGTAAGCTTAGATTGTTGAGATGGATGTTGTTACTTTAAGAATTTGATATAGAAATTAAAGATAGATCTGGGATAGAAAATTTGGTGGCTAACCATTTAAGTTGATTATCTTGTGATGTCCTAGTGTAATTGAGTCAAATCATGTTTGTGATGCATTTCCAGATTCTACATTACTTGCTGTCACCAATAAAGATGCTTGGTTCTTGCATATTGTCAATTACATTACAGCTAACATTGTGCCTCCTTTTATGACTAATTTTCAGGTACAAAAACTTAAAAGAGAGGTCAATATTATATATGGGATGAACCTAACTTGTGGTGCATGTGCAATGATCAAATAATTAGGAAGTGCACAGTTGATGGTGATATTAAATCTGTTTTACAATTTTGTCATTCTCTTGCTTGTGGGGGGCATTATAGTGCTAAAAAGACATCTAGAAGAGTTGTAAAAGCTGGTTTTTATTGGCCCACCTTATTTCGGGATGCTTACAATTTTTACAAATCATGTGAAAAGTGTCAAAATTTTGGAAGTTTAGGGAGGAAACATGAAATACCCTAGCAACCCCTTTTATTTTGTGAATTAGTTGATGTATGGGGAATTAATTTTATAGGCCCTTTTCCTAACTCTTGTGGGTTTTCATATATTTTGCTTGTTGTAGATTACTTGTCTAGATGGTTGAGGCTATTGCTACAAGAAAAAATGATGCCCAAACTGTTATAAAATTTCTTAAATCTTTATTTTCTGCAGGTATGGAGTTTCTAGAGCTTTGGTGAGTGATCAAGGAACTCATTTTTGCAACAAGCTTATGAATAATTTGCTGTCCAAATGTGGAGTTACACACAAGGTCTTCATTGCCTATCATCCATAAACAAATGGACAAGCTGGAGTGTCAAATAGGCAAATCAAAGGTATATTAGAAAGAATTGTTAAAGCTAATAGGAAAGACTGGAGTTCAATGTTGGATGAAACCTTATGGGCCTATAAGACAACCCAAAAGACACCTATTGGGATGTCTCATTTTAGGTTAGTCTATGGAAAAGCCTGTCACCAATAGACATTGAGCATCAAGCATACTAGGTTGTTAAGAGCTATAATATGGATCTAGATAATGCCACTATAGAGAGACAACTCCAATTGCAAGAGCTAGAAGAATTAAGGTTGGAAGCATATGAAAACTTAAGGTTATACAAGGAAAGGACAACGCAAATTCATGATAAGGGAATACTAGGAAAGGAGCTCAAGGTGCTGCAATATAAAGCTAGGTTTACATTCAAACAAGGCAAGTTGAAAAAGAGATGGGATGGACTCTATGTAGTAGTGAAGGTGCATGATTTTAGAATGGTGGAAATTATGGATGAGCAAAGTGGAAGAATATTCAAGACTAATGGACACTTGCTCAAACATTTGCGTGCCAATCATAAACTATCATGATTATTCAGTTATCTCTTTTCCCTGTACTTATCTCTATGCCATCATTTTGTTGGTTTAAATTCTCGTTGCCTTGCAATGAATGTAGGGGAAAAAGAGGGTTAGCCAATAGGATTGTAGTTCTGTTTTTACAATTTTGATTACTGTTTTTGTTGCCTACATAATGCACACATTTGGTTCACTTCCTTCCTCTGTTAGGTAGACACTATGCACACATGTGGTTCACTCAGTTGATTTGGATTTGCTTTGCAAGGTTGAATTAAATTTGGCATTTAGTCTTACTAGTTATCATGGATGATTTTATGGCTTGAACATTCAATTCCTTTCCTCTATTCATATGTTCTTTGATTGTGATCTTTGACAATGGTGCAAAAGTGGATTTCCTTAACTGTAATTTAGTGATGATGGTGAGATGAAACTTCTAGGAGAGAGTTAGTCAATTGAATTTTGTTTCTAGCATTTTTTTTATCTCTATTTACTCTGAATTGTAGAACTCTTTCTTCTGTGTTTGTGACTTTCATTTTTCTACACAAAACCAAACTGAAAATAAAGAACATCTGTATTCTTCTTACTTAATTTACTCATTATCTTCACTAAACAATTGATTTAAGAGCCTAGAGACCAAGAGATCAACACTTAGAGTTGCTTCCACTGGACTATAGTAATTCTAGTATTTTCGATGGCCTGTACGATAAGGACAAATCAATGTGTTTGAGTGAAAATGTGAATATTACTTCTAGGAAATCATTCATAATCATAGAAAGAGTAAGAGCACGAGCAGATAATACTATATAGTTCAACAGAGTAATACATTTCAATAGACTTTCATCTCTAAGTTGTGGGATGACAAGGTGATGTCTTTGATTCCTACTTAATCTTTTGAAGGTTGGGTATAACAGCAATACGAGTTAGCCTACATAGGGGAGGAAATGCTGAAAGAAGTCCCTAAATACAATGGCCTTTTAGTATTGCCAAAGATTTCTTAACTTGAAGTGGATATTATATAAAGGTATTAGTCAATACGAATATTAGATAAAGATGCATATAGAAGGGGAAAAATATACTCCTCCAGTCCTAAATATAAAACTCATTTTGTAGTATATACTACACTATGAAATAGGTAAAACATCCTCCTGACTTCTTTTAGTACATGTCTAGAAGATTATAGCTCAAGCATATCATAAAATAAGCTCATAGATTAAAAATTCAAAATTTAATTCTTAGGTTATTATTCACAAGTAAATTTTAGATTTTTGGTCTAATTTTGAAAATTCATAACTAATTTTTTAAAAAATCATATTGAGGCGATTTAAGTTTTTATTTAAAGCTCTTTCGATTCTTTATAGGAAAAATATATAAATCTGGACTTAGACCTCCTCAATTCATACAGTTAATTCGTTTGGAAAAAATTCTACTTTTCAGTTTCTCTACCCTAATTTTGAGCAGACATAACTCTTAGTACATATATCTATTTTAAGTGATCTACTATTTATTTTAAAACTCAGGATGTGTACTTTAAACATGACAAATTTCATGGGTAGATTTAATCATTTGCCTTATTTCAATTTTGTCATAAACTCGTGGTTCATTTAAAGATAACTTATCTCCCTTACATGCATTAATAGTGCATAATTATTCATTTCTTTGCATGCAATCATTCCAATATCGCACAATTCATTCTCATGCATTAACATGTTCCATCATCTATGCTATCATCATCATTATTTAACTTTATATAGTATGACTAGCACTATCCATATATACATTGACATAGAAATTACATAATATAATATAATACATTTCCTCAATTCTTTTCTTCATTTCTTTGCAAATTTACAATCTAAATACATATTTTCATAACATTAAATTGTCATTTTCCTGCACAATTCTAATTTGCAAATTTACAGTCCGAATATATATTTTCACAACTGCAAGTTACCATTTCTCTACACATTTAGATTTCATGTCTCCCATTCCAACACATTCATCCATTTTCCTTTGAGTTCTCCCTTCCTAAATTCCTTCAACAACGTATTACAGTCAGTGCTCACCCATTCTCACTCACTTTTTAAAAATCACTAACATCTTGTATTTATTAACTTCAAAGAAGAAGAAGATAACAATCCCTCTCTAAAGAAGAAGAAGATAACAATCTCTCTCTAAATTTAAAAGCTATATCATATTTTTTTCTCCCTTACTACCTACTTATCCATGCATTTAAATACTCATTCTTACATTATTCAGCTATCACAACCCAACTATACTCAATAAATCAGCTAAACAAAATGAAAATTTTGGGAAAAATGATTTACCTCACACACCAAGTTTTCCTTTTTTCCTCTTTTTTCTTCCTTTTCAGCAGATAACAGTTCGCAAGGCATTTTCTGTAAAATGGGTAATGTAATTAATTTCAGTTTATCCTTGGGTCCTTCAGTGAAATTTCAGAATTTTTAGGGACTGTTTGAAATTAATTGGCAACTCTGGTCATTAGTTGAAATTTCCCGTGAGTGCAGCAGACGATATTTTTCCAAGTCTTGCTCACAGAAGCGAAGCTCTGTCGACTGGTCCGAAATGTCATCCATAATATGTGCTTCGTCCCCATCTTCAATTTCCCACTCCTCCTTCCTACTCCAACCTCCTACTACTCACTCCGTTCGCTGCGGTAAACCCACTTCCCTTTCATGGGCTTGGTCATTTCCCAAGTTAAACATCAGCTTGAGCCCTGTCTCAAACCATCCCAACCATTCTCTGAACAACGTGAGTGTTATTTTTGTTTTCCCTGGAGTAAATAATTTTTGAAGTTTCTATGTCTTCTTGTAAATATATAATGTTTGGATTGCGTATTTGGGTTGCCCTTCACATCTTAATTTGATGTTAGCGCCGATTCGGTTGTTCTTTGTTCTTTTCTTTTCTGCTTTTGCAAACAGAATGGTGGTTGGTTTACTTTGTTTTAGATTACTATCTTCCATTCCTCCCCCGGCTCCACTTATTTGGAGTTAGTCCAATTTGTTTGCAGAATAGTAATTCCCCATTGGCTTGGTTGTAGGAAATCAGTATTTGATGCAATCAATTGGCGAGGGTATGATAGTAAGAATCTCTATTAAAATAACGGCTTAAAGAAATTTTAATAGATTAAATAGAGAGAATGTGGTTAAAATGCAATTTTTCCCTATAATAACTCTTAAAGAGTTGTACACTCGGAGCGAAAACCTCAACTTATGTCACTTCTTGGGAATTTACCTCCAATCAGTGGCTACCTTTAGAGTTTTGGCTAGGAAGGGAAAGCCCTCTGAATCCATACCTAAAGGCGAAGATGGTTGCCTATGTCCAAAGGGAAAGGAAACCTAAGGAGATCAAGCTTGTACCAGAAGAGCTTGTGTTTGATGGTGAAAGGGAAATCCTCCCGCTTCACTTGAGCAATTTAAGCAATCCACGTGGAAATATGTCAAATGAGGAGTAGTTGGGTATGATCTAAGCGTTATTAAGCTTTTAGTAGTTATCATTTCTACTTACATTCAAAATGACTTCCTTGATTTTGTATTTTTGACATTTCTCAAGATGATAACATGCTGGAAAGTACACAAAACTGGCAAATGAAAAATATATATGTTAGGGATGATAATAAGACTATGAACTGATGACTACTTAAGCTTGTGATTTGAAATGATAATTGACATTTGTATCTCATGTGCTATGACCAAATGGTCAAGGTTCAGTTTCTTGTCATTCATATTCTTCATAGTTATGGTTTTTCGCATACTTTAAAATTAAAGGTATTTCACGTGTTGGGAGTTGGGACACATTATAGATTATAACATAACTCTTAATATGCATTCACCCTTAACAGATTAAGCTTATGTAAATTAGTCTGATCTTTATTTAAAATAATTGAAATAAAAGACAAGGAACCAGATTCCTTAGGTGATGCCATGCTTCTAATTGTCTTTTGGTTGATGAAGTGCTTTTTCTAGCAAGATTATTATATTAAGGTGCTTATTGCTTACAGAATAGTGAGAAAATCTGTAACGGATAGCAAATGGTCAATGCAGAAATTTAAAAAGGAAAAACTATAGCTCTCTGTTCCTAACTATCATTCATGTATAGACGAGTTTGACGGCTATTGTTGGGGGTTACCGAAGTTTTATGATTTTGACCCTTACATATGGCAGTGCGTTATAGGGAAGCTTTTTACTCTAGTTGGATGAGATATGATTTGCGACTTCTCCAGGAACTTTTGCATATGTATCATTCAAGTTTTCCTTTCCTTAGCAGAAGATGGTTATTGATCAGATTGATTTATAGCTTCTTCCTGTCTGCTAATAGATAGAGCAGCTTGAAAGTTAGTTTGGTTTATTGTTTTCCTTAACACTATGATCTGAATCTTATACCCTAGGAAGGTTGGGAAAACTGAGCTGCCCTTTCATTATATAAAGTGTGAGATGTGCATGGCCTACTATAGTACTATTTTTAGGTCCTGATCTGCCCAAGTCCTCTCCAAAAGTAGTCAGCAACAGCAGTTTGCTGAGTTTGAGTTTTTTTTTTTTTTTTTAATTTTTAAATTTTATTTATTTTTAAATGGTAAATGTTCCAATGCCATACAACGAGGGAACACTTTACGGAAATTAATTTCTTAAGTCAATATCACTTTTTGTTTAAAATGTTTTGGTATGAATTAGCTTTTGTCCATTTTTCTGCATTATCCAATAATATGAGACATGTGTGTAAAGTAATGTTCAAAGTGATATTTCATCTATTATAGCGGTTCTTCCTCCCTTCAATTAAGTTTCAGTTGATTATGTTCCACTTAGCATCAACTACAACTCAGAATTTCTTCTCTTGGATTTAAGTCGAAGTTGACTACAACTCATTGTGGTTTTGACAAGTCCTAATGACCGCACTTTCTGTTACTCTCTAAGTGATTTAAGAAAATATCCTCCAACTTGACCTTTCTTGAAGAAATTCATAAACTTACCCAAAAGCATTTTAGTCCTTCCAAAATGTTCAATTTCAGGTTTATGCATGCCTAAAAGCTACAGTTTTCAAATAACTCAATGTAGAAACATTTTGTGAAACTCAAAATTAGGCTTTCCGTTTTCCACATATTGGTCTCGAGACGTGCAAATATTTTCATGCAATGCTCTAAAAATTACCAAAATCAGCATGGAACGTCCTCTATGTGTGATGCTTGCTCCTTATCTCCAAGTAATCCTTCTCCCTTCAAAACAGGATTCCTACTATGTAAGTTATAGATATAAGATGTGAATGTACTTTGGTTAAAATGGGTTCAGTTGTAGCAGCCGTAAAGTTTCTTGAGTTGTTGCAATCAATCTAGTGTTTGGCAGTTTTTATAACCCTTTTTTCCAACTCTTTGCAACTGTCTTCCTAAATATAATTCCTTCTTTTGTCAGAAACAGAACTATTTGCGGAACTTTCACTACCTACGATTACTATATATTATATACTTGTGTATGCAGAATTTAGCTATCCCAATTTCTCCTAGATAATTTGTTTTTGCTGCTGCAAGTTTTTTGACTACGAATCATGTTGCTTAAGAAAAAAGGTTCCTCACATAATTTGAGGACAAAAAAACATGCACACGCTATTTATATAAGTTCTGTTTCTTTTCTTCCTCTCTCTCGCAAACACTATGTGTGTGATAACACACAACAAACTACGAGATAGGAGATATGGAAAATTCAGGAAGAAATGATGTTTTTAATTATTTTTTGTTTTAAAGCAAGTAGAAGTTTATTTTCTTATGCTTTTTAGTATTATTCTGTAATATTTTGAATGTTTCCTTCATAGGAAGGAAACCTTAGGATCTTATTTTGGTTTTCTTTAATGTGAAGGAAATCTTAGTTCATAAGTAGCAGCTAGGCAGCACCTGTATTCAGGCATTTTGGATGGATGGAATGTTTTCTTAGATAATTACTCCCTCTCCCTTGTTCAATCTGTCTCTTCCCCCACCATTTTTCTTCTTCATATCCCTCTTCCTCCTCTCTGCTTGTATATTTCCCCCTCTATTTTATGCTCTGCTAACAACTGTGGCAGTGTGTTTGTGTGTTACATCAATATGTGTACGCATTTGCTAAGAACTTTGAAATGTTAATTATAAATGCTATTGTGACTCCACATTCATATTCCCTTGGGTTGGATTTGAAATTAGTTTTTATGCAGAAAGCATGGTTTATTTTAATGATGATACATGATCTGCACACCTATTGCTGTACGGGAATATACTTATTTACGCATGAATACATTCTATAAAATGTTTTGGTACTGAATTGACGCTATGTATTCTTTTGGAAGTCTAAATATTTTGGAAGTTGAGTTGATTACATTATGAACGATTCCACATATATTAATGATGGATCATGAAAGATTAATTTCTATCTGTCAATATCTGCAGGGTTCCTTCATTCAAGCTGCATGGACCCGAAGATCACGGGGTGAAGCTGCAAAGAAACCTAATAGGAAATCGTGGAAGCAGAGGACAGACATGTACATGAGGCCATTCTTATTGAATGTTTTCTTCTCAAAAAGATTTATTCATGCCAAGTGATGCACCGAGGAACGAGCAAAGTGATTTCTGTTGCGACCACGAATGCTAAGGATCTTCGAAACTCTCTGCCATCGTTGACTGATCATAATGCTTGCAGAGTGATAGGAAGACTTATAGCTGAGCGATCAAAGGAAGCTGATGTGTATGCAATGGCTTATGAACCTAGGAAAGAGGAAAGGATTGAAGGTAAACTAGCCATTGTTCTTGATACCATTAAAGAAAATGGAATCATATTTGTTTGACCGTATTCCCTATATCACTTTAGGGTGTTTTTGGATGCTCCTTTCAAGAGTTTATAGTGGATGAGTTATTAGAAATCCTTCCGATTGCCATGATAACGCCAGCTTTTGAGTCACATGCTTTATTACTAGGGTAACAAAATTGAAAATAGTTGCTTTGAAGAGCAACATTGACCCAGAATATTATAAATATCAAAAGTTGACATGAACATTCCATGTACAGCATTTCACATGATCCCCAAACCCAAAAGGATTACATCATGCTGGATGTTTGAAATGATGTTTGGCATGATTTTGAGGACAAATTGACTTTTTTTTTTTTTTGGGGCTAAAAAGTACCTTAAAGCTAGAACAATTTTTTTGACTTTTGAATAGAGAATAAAAAACTGGACCGAACTGGCTGGTTCATTGGTTTTGGTTTGGTTTGGATGTTAAACAGGGAGAGTTGAACAGGTACCGAATCGATCAAATCGGAGTGAACCGATGAAAACCGGTGTGAACTGATAATGAACCAGTTTAGATGATTATGTTGTTATTAGTCCTGTTTTTTCTCATTCAGCTCCTATAGATTTAACTGAATTTTAATGATGATTTTGGTATTAATGATTATTAATTTTAGTTAATCATGAACCATAAAGATCAAAATTCTTAATGTTATTATACTTTGTTATTGTTACAATTAAACTGTCATTATATTTTTTTATCTTTTGTTATTAGTGATTATTAATAATATTTTATTTTGTTATTTTTAATTAAATTATATTATTTTAATATGACTGTCCAACCAACTGATTTTTAAACCACTACTTCAATCCGTTTAGTGTTCGGTCTGGTTTTTTATTCCTTGCTTTTTTAATATATCATCAAAATAATGTTTGTCAAACTGAATTTTTATAATTTTTATAAAATTCTATTCAAACATAAACTATATTATATTAATTGATTTTTATCCCAACTTTAATAAAAGTTAGTTTGGGTAGAAGTTACTTTTATGAACATTAATTTAAGCACGTGCTATGACTACAACCAAACTTAGATTTAAACTTGGATTTTCATGTGGTTTGAACTTTATATACTCTTTCAATTCTTGTAAAACGTAATTTGAAAGTTGATATTAGTCTTATATATTAGATTTACTTTACATGTTTATCAATTTTTTTCTAAATTAACTATATTGATATTTTCTCAATAATAATCAAATAAGAGAGAGAATGAAGGAATTAAGAAAGATAATTAGGGTACTTTAGAGGAAGAAAGATGATAAGGGTATTTTAGAAAAATCATATCATATTAAGTAATTTAACTCATGTTTTATCTGCCCAAGTTAGTTAATTATATCTCATATTAACAACCAGAGGTATATTATTATTTTAAAGTGATAATGATACCTTTGTTAATGCTTGATTGTTAAAGGTATTACAATGGCCATCTTATGCCTACAGAGAATTAATTGTAGCATTGAATAATAGTGGGAGAATTTCAATAAACCCCATTAATAGCCAATTAATATTAGTCAACTCTCAAAAAATTCTAAAATTTCATTGCACTCCTTCAACCAAAACTTTTTGTGTGAGAAAACAAAAATATCCTTACTTTATTTGAGTTGGAATCGTCGAATTTGTGTTAAAAGTTCCTGAATTCTTGATGTAAATAGCCGAATTTGAATTGAAAATTCTTGTAAATTTATGGGTGAATAAACAGCTTTTAATAATTTACAACAAGAATTTAATAATTTATAATAAAGATTTGGTGATTTGCAACTCAAATAAAGTAAAGGCACACAAAAATATTTTGATCAAGAAAGTGCGGTCAAATTTCATAATATTTTAAAGATTGATTAATATTAATTGACTGTTGAGGGGAATTGGTGAAATTTTGCCAGGAGTAATATTTTGTTCACAACATGTTCGTAGCTTCACGCGCATTTCAATCCCCGAAGTAATTGGCATGTCACTTTTTGTACTAAGCGTGTTTTTTAACTTTCGTGACTAAAAATTTTATCTTGAAAAATTATTTAAAATCTCAAAAAAGAGAAATAATAGTAAAAAAAAAAAACCTCGATGATAAGTGGACAGTTTAAATATGTTGTTATTTCAAACACAGTAACTTGTTATTATAAACTCTTCAGTTGTGAAGTTTTGAGTAATTAAATCTATTTCTTAGAGTTTAATAGTATTTCTCCTTTTTACCTTTGCCTTTTAACTCTTCTACCATTGTTTATTACCCATCACCAAAGTCAAGGGTAAAGCCGCAAAAAACCTCAAAAAGTTTTACTTAAAATGCGCCAAACACCTCGCTCTATGGAAGTGCAAAATTAGAGCGAAATTAACACAATTGTTAAAATACATCACTTCTAATTTTTAATATAAGAGCTTGTTTGATTTTTATTTTGGTTTTAAATATAAAACTTCAATCCACTTTATCTCTCATATACATCTTTTTTTTTCTAAAGTAGTTCTTGTAATAATGGTAGTTCTAGTCAATACACTTGATTAGTAAGGATATTTTAAAAAATATAATACATAGTTTTTACAAATAACTAACTTAATTAGTTTTCTTAATCTATTTAAATTAATCAACCAGTTCTTATATTAAAAATCAGAAATAGTATACCATGTTGGTACATTTAAGGTGAGATCCAAATTATTCAAAAAGTAAAGATGCAAAAATACAGTAAATACTCAAGCTTTTACCTACAGTGCACCAAACACTTTATTTTTTAAAGGTGCAAAAATATACATGAAGAAAAAGAAGGAGAGTCGACGGGTCAAAGAGATAATAAGGGAAGGGCAGCAAAAGAAATTGCAAAACCTTGGCAACCGCAATGATTCTCATTTCTCCCAACATCTTGAACCCGATGTCTTTCCCCACGTCTTGTAGATCTGATTAGATTGTGCTTTCTTTCCACTTCGCATATATGAATCAAGATCCCAACAGCTCGACTTTCTTTCTCGTATTCATTGATACTGCCTTGTCATTGTAGCAACGCTGTGAGAGGAGGATAAGGTCTACTTGGGATGGGATTCTTCTTTTGATCCTTTGCAGTTTGCACTGTACACCGGTCTTCATTGAATTAGACTTATGTTGAAGAATGGCGTTAAATTCATCAAAGTCTCTACTAGGATAGAAAAAGAAGATTAAGATTAAAAGGATTACTTCAATAAAAACTGTTAAACCAGATTCAAGCCAACATGATGACACCACAAACTATTATGATCGTGATAATGTCATTGACACAATGGGGGCTACAGAATCTCAATTTATAGTTGAGTTGCCACCTAGTGCATATGATTAAGGTGTGGCTTAAGAGTTTATCGTGTATTTGAAGTTGTTCTACACAATGACCCTCAAATTTTGTGACACCACATGTTTTCATCATATTGTTGCAATTTAGACACACCTTCAGCAAAGTGCAACTAGTGACTACTCTCTGTTGAGTGACGTGGTAGGAAGAATGCAAACAAAGTATGATATGTATTAGGGAAAAATAGAAAAAATGAATCCATTACTAGTGATAGTGGTGATTCTAGATTTTAGATACAAAGTGACATATGTCAAAACTGCTTTAGACACCATTTTTTTATAAAACTACAAACCGTGAAGCAATGTTGAAAAAGATCATGGATGTCTTGTATTGATTATATGATCACTAGTGTTTTTGATGTTGGTCACGGTGAAGTACCAGCAACGGAGCAAGCCAATGATAGTGTTGGAGCTTTTGAGAATAGTGTTATTTTTTGAGTTTGAACTTGAAATGTCTTTGTCATCTATTTATTCTACATTACAAGAGTTCTTAGCCACTATAGAAATTGTTATTAATTCAAAGAAATTTTTTGCAGTGGATGAATACCTTTTAGTTGATTTACTTAGTTTTCATGATCTAAAATTGACATCTTGGCATGGTGGAGAGTGAATGCCAACAAGTATGAAATTCTATGTCTAATGGCATGTGATTTGTTAGTTATACCAGTTTCTTTAGTTTCTTCAGAATCAGTTTTTAGTGGCGGGTCAAGTACTGGATAATTTTATAAGATCTTTATTTGTAAAGATGGTTGAAGCATTCACATGTGCCAAAGATTGGCTATCCAAGAGTATCCCTAAGCTCAATGACCTTAAAGTGGGTACTTTTGCTAAGAGTACAAGTGTTGTTATTGGTATCTCAAATTTTGATGACATTCTCAATTTATATTTTTATTAAATATTAATGAATTAGATTCTCATAATTTGTTTTATAGAGTAAGAGTCTGCAGCTCCAATTATAGCCACCTCTTGAACCTTAAGTGAAACAGAAGATAATGATTGATGATAATTGATAGTTTTAATCATATCGTTAATTCTTTAGAAATTGGATTGTTGAATTTGCACTACTAGAAAAAAGACATTTAAGGTCACAAAATAATGACTATTAAGAAGAAAAACACTATGAAAAAAAAGGCGGTGGTATTTTTGTAAATAAGTGGCCTGACAATTGATTTTTCACTGCAGTTATTAAGAAAATCGCAATGGAAAGTACTTTAAAGGCGGATATTTAAATAACTGCCATTAAAAATACTTTCCACGACGGTTTTCTTAATAATTGCCATGGAAAGTTTTAAAATAAGCTGTGATAGCATTCAATTTTACTTATTTTCACAGTTTTGTATTAGTGCGTCCTGGTCCCCCTTTGTCCTACCACCAATGAACTTCCATTGCCGGCCATTCCCCCCTTCCTATCGTTTAAACTCCTCCATTTAGCTTGTGGTGTCTTGTCGCTGTCCACTGTCATTTCAATGCCTATCTTCTCGCATTTGAATTGTCTCTACTGAGTGAGTATCCTCTTATTTCATTTTTTTTATTTTTCTTAGTTTTCTGGATGTTTTGACCATAAAAATTTGTTGTATTTCAAATGGGTTTGTTAGCTTTACACTGTGGTTGACTTGCATTGTTGATTTTGTGTTTTTTATGTTTTTGAGGTGTTAATTGGTGGCATTTGGTGTGAGAAAACCTCAATTCCTTCCTATATATAGTATTAGAAATGGTTTAAATGTTTGAAATTAATTAGTTTTGAAGTTTTTTATTTTTTTATAATTTTTTGATATTT